TACCATTTTATATTTCGCAAATTTTATTTCATCAATTTATTGCTGATAAAAATTTTTCTTTAGCAATAAAATAAATTTTCCATTTTAATCCATAATTTTCTTTTATTATCGTCTTTTTTTCTTTTCTTTTCTTTTTTCTTTTTTTTTGAATTCTTATAAAAATTTAATTGTTAGCTATTATTGTTGGAAGAAAATATTCAATTTGATTGCTTCATGCAAAAATTGCAATTTAAAAAATGTGCTCCTTTTCAAGCGATTCATTTTATTTCATGGATAAATGCATGTCACATTTATACATCATTGCATGCTTTCAGTTAAAATTTTTAAATAATTCTAAATTCAATTTTATTATTTAATTCAACACTAAAATATTTACACCTGTCATTGGAAGCTTTTAGATGAAATTTTAAAATTTCAATATCAAATTATGCTTTCAGACATTTTTAATTCATCACCAACATATATATAATATTAATTCAATGCCTTTTTTATCGTTGTTGAAATATTAAAATTTAATTTGAATATTGTTATTATGTAGTTTAAAAGAAATACAAAATTGAATAACATATTATGGCTACTTCCTCTAAAGTTAAGTAATTCATTTTCCATTTTTTGTTAAATTAAACTAAAATGTTATAAGTAAAATAAAACTATGAATTCCAGGTTTGTTTTGTTTTGTTTTTTTTTCCTGTAACCAAATTTTATTTTGATTAAAGGCTAAATTTTTTTTTTCTGAAATTTCCATAAATTGAAGAGAGAAATGATTTTTACTACCTTTATTTAACAAATTCAAAATATCTTCTTTTTCAAATCGAAATGCTAATATCATTTTAAAAATTGTAACAAATAGTTGAAAATTTTTTTATTTAAATTTAAAGATGATTGTTTTTTTTTTTTTATTTTTGAAGTTTGTTATTGATTTTTAATTTTAATTATTTCAAATTTTTCTTCTATTTTAGGAATACAGAAATTTTGCCCAATAATTTTCATTTTTATCATGACATCATGTCATTGTATGATTACATAAATTGCCATTGCCCTTTGCCCTCTCCTTGCCGGCTTTTCTCATTATTTTATTAAATTATTCTACAATTTTCTCTTTGGTTTTATTCTAAAAGAAAAAAAAAAAAACAAGAAAGGTAGCCGAAAATTACCAACAAACATTTCGTATAGTTAGTCTATCCTTATTGCTTAATTTTACTTTCTCAAAGAAAATTGATGCAACCAGTTAATGTTTAATTGTTTCTGTTAATTTGCTAGTCATTTAATTTTATTTGTTAATTCCTTCAGTTTGCTTATCAATTAACAGTTTCCTTTAATTTGCTGATCATTTATTTTGTTATTCTTTCAATTTGCTCATCATTTAACAATTTCCTTTAATTTGCTGATCATTTATTTTGTTATTCTTTCAATTTGCTTGTGGTTTAACAGTTTCCTTTAAATTGTCATTCGTTTAATCGTTTCTGTTAATTTGCTGATCGTTTTAATTACTCCCTTTAATTTGCTAGTCATTTAACTACTTCCTTTACGTTTAATTACTTCCTTTAATTTGCTAATCATTTAACTATTTCCTTTAAATCACTGCTTCAACTATTTCCATTAATTTATTCTTTTCTTCAATTTACTGATGTTTTAACCGTTTTTGTTAATTTACTAGCTGTTTAATTGCTTCCTGTAATTTATTGATCATTTATCCATTCCCCTTAATTTGTTAGTCACTTAATGTAGTTTCCTATAATTAGATGGTTCAACTATTTCAATTAATTTATCCCGTCCTTTAATTTGCTCATCGTTTAATTGTTTCCTTTAATTCATTATTTCGACTTAAATAATTCAGTTTGTCATTTCAAATAAGTAAATAATTACAATAATTATCTTCTTATCTATGTTTTCGTTATCTATTTTCTCTTTTCTTTTTTCTTTTTTTTTTCTTCTCTCTTTTCATTTTGAATTTAATCCATTTCGAAATACTTTGAAATTGCCAACTTATTTTGTTATTACAGCAAAATAATTCAACTTTAATGTTTCAAACTGAAAAAAGCACCAAAA